TAACGCATGCAAAGTAGGAAAAAGATGTGAAAACTATACGTTTGTAAGTCGATAGAAGAGATGTTTGAGACTTGATTTGGCATAAAATAATAATTTTAGCTATTAATTAAAACCTGACAGCTGATATTTAGAATCGTATGGTATTCACAAATAGCGAAAATTACGATGTACCGTTGCCACGCAAAAAAACATTTTAACTAAGTGCCCCAGATTTTTTCATCACGAAACTTACGTCATTAACTAATTATATGTTCTTCTAGAACATATAAAAAAATTAGTTTGGGTTATTGTATTTAGAGTTCGTACGGAGGCCGTGAATATTGGGTATTTTCGACATATAGCGTGACTGAAATCGACAAGTGTTTGTTCCTTCCGGTCGCTATTCATTCGTTTATATTTTCATTCGGAATTTAAACCCGAAAATGCCGTTAAAAATAAAAAGGCACCCTTTATTAGCAACTCACAGCGTTTTAGCAGTTACAGCATTTTTAGGAAGTGTCTCTAAAGAAGCTAACATCAGGTGAAGCAAGTAGAACTGACACGATTGGCGATCGCGCGCCACCGTACTGTACGATTAAATTTACTCTCCTGATAGAACAATCACAATATTTTTGGTTCTGTTTATATCTCGCAAAATTAGTGCAGTTTTTAAAATTAGGTATATTTGCGTGCGAACCATTAACACTATTTTTATTGCTGCCAATCAAAGTCAATAAAGTACCTAAAAAATTGTTTGGCAGTGTTTTACCCGATTTCCCTGTCGTGACTGTTGTCTCTATCATCGCGTTTCTAGTAACAATGGAAATAGTGGTAAAGAAATATTTGATAGAATCACAGGAATTCTACATTTCTCGGTTTCTGCCTGTTTCCACCCTGCTCCAAGAGTAGATCGATGTGCAGGATATATTACGAATTGCTCAATGTTTTCCGATTTATGCCCTGTAAATCATGATTACAATTTAACAACTGAACGCATTCTGATGATTTGTTTTTAACTCTAGTATCATGGCCACAATGACCAACAACTATTGCGAAAAAGGAGCACTTTATATCCATGACGGTCAGACCTTGGCAAGATCTATTTTTAGACATGCAGTATCAAACTTTCCAGATACGAAATTTACACGTTAATTACATCGCCCGATCGCTGTCTCAAGACAAACCGGCGCTTTTACCTGATAGTTTACTTTTCACCACAAAAGTGTTTAGGATTCAAGTGTGTTTAATTTTGCTTTGTAGTTTTGTTAATGGCAGAACAATATTCTGTACCTTAAATTAATTCCAGTGCACTAGTTCCTTGAAAAATTTAAAAATACTAGTACCTTGAAAAATTTCAAACTACTAGTACCTTGAAAAATTTCAAACTACTAGTAGTTTGAAAATGAATACTTAATCAGGCCCGCTGACCCTGGGAGATTTCAAATCCTCCACCTGCTTTGAAGATAGTTTTCTTCCAGTTTCAAAACACTGATTAAACACATGGGCGTACCGGGGTGGGCGGCAGCCCCCCCCCCCAGTTTGTTGGGCAAACAAAGTCAGTCGGGCAATATTCGCTCCACAGTCGGGCAATATTGGCTTATTATAAAAATAAATGGGACAAATTCTGTCAATTTTGTGGGAAATTCCGTCAATTTTGTGGTCAATTTTGTGATGTGTTGAAAATTTGTATGATGTTCCGAAAAATTTTTGTATGTCCGAAAAATTTTTGGACCCCTAAAATGATACACTGACCGAAACGGGGGGGGGAGGTCGCCAAAATTAATTTGTTACGGAAAAAAATTTTTCGGCACTGGTCGGGCACAATCCGAAAAAGTCGGGCAAATTTCTTTCCGCCCCCCTAATTTTTTCCTTCCGGTACGCCCATGATTAAACATTAATTTCTTTTGTTTTCGGTTTATAAATTATTAATGAGTTTGAGAACACAATTTCTCTGTCTCTGAGCATGTTCAGCCAAACCACATGCAAACTAACAATTAAAAAAAACTGAAAATAATTTCGAAGTCATCCTTCTTTTATAGCTTAGTAGAAAATGTGCTAAGTTTTGTCTTTAGTTAAAATAAGGGGCCGATTACGTGGAGGTTTTCAGCCCGGGATGAAATTTCAGCCTGGCAAACAGGGATGAAATTTCAGACCGGGGCCCCTATAAATTCAATATAATATGAATTTTACGATTACATGGAAAAAATTTCGAATTGCAAACGAAATGCAAAATAAAGCCACTTAAACGATTGTTTTTTTTTAGCCCGGGCTGAAATTATTTGCGATTACATGGGATATTTCATCCCGGTTGACAGGGCTGAAATTCAGGCCGGGTTGAAATTTTCATCCCGGTTTATGTCACCCAGGATGAGATTTTCAGCCCTGTCAACCCGGATGAAATATCCCATGCATGTAATTGCAAATAATTATGCAACCACAGTCTTACACAAGTCAAATAGTCGACTAATTAATCGCCGTTTTAAATGCTCAAACAAGCGGAATATTGCCTTTCGTGATATCGTATATTTCAGGCCGGGATGACATTTCATCCTGGGTTTGTTTTAATACTAGTTACAAGGAATAAATATTGCTCTGACTAAAACTCAGCCCAGGTTCAAACTGCCCATGTAATCGTGATGCTATTTCGGCTCGGTTTACCGGGCTGAAATTCAGCCCAGGCTGAAAACTCTCCATGTAATCGGTATAAAATATACAGAAATTATCTCGGTCATAGTACTTAGTCTTAAATAAAGAATGCTGTGACTGCTAAAACCATGTAAATTGATAATAACAGCCATTCTTACGGAAATGCATTTTCGGGTTTAATTCCCGATGAAAATAGCAACTATTTATGAGAAAATAGCGACCGGAACTTCCGGAAGGAACAAAACACTTGTAGATTTCAGTCACGCTATATGTCGAAAATACCCAATATTCACGGCCTCCGTACGAACTCTAAATACAATAACCCAGACTAATTTTTTTATATGTTCTAGAAGAACATTTGATTAGTTAATGGCGTACGTTTCGTGTAGAAAAAATCTGGGGCACTTAGTTAAAATGGTTTTGGCGTGGCAACGGTAGATTGCAATTTTAGCTATGTGTGAATAACATACGATTCTAAATATCAGCTGTCTGGTTTTAATTAATAGTTAATATCATGATTTTATACTCAATCGAGTCTCAAACATCTCTTCCATCGATTTACAAACGTACAGTTTTCATATCTTTTCCAATTCTGCATGCGTTAGTTGTTTTTGAACCTGTTTGATTCAATTGAAAATTTGCATATTTTTTAGGCCGCCGACAGTTGAATCGTTTTTCTCGGATTTCTCAGAATTTTAGCGGTTTTTTGAAAAACAAACTACATCACGTTTGTTTACTTGGTAATGCCTTCCTGCAAACCAAAAATGAGCAAAATCGAAACTTTGAGCGTGACCGGCTGATGCTCGATATTAGTGGACCTTCGCTCTTAAGAAACAGCTTTAGAGACTGGGACTGAGTAGTCAGCGGTTATGTTATAGAAACGGGCTCAGCATTATAGTCTAGCGCTTTTTGAAAAATAATATAGCGAACACATGTTTTGTAAATGTTTATTGTAAAATACTCCTTAAAAGTGAATAAAATGTAAGAAATATATAACTCGGAGTAACATCCCTACCTCACAGTCGAAGACAAGCAATACCTATCCAGCTCAAGACAGGTAATCGGCACAGAAGCGGAGGACCCGCTATCCGATTGCGAAGTAGAAGACTCAAGATTCCCACAACTACCGAATCAAGACTACCACCAACCGAGTTAGTGTAAGGTGGTCTTATACATTGTATTTTCAAAAAAATCGCTTTTTTGAAATATATAAATTTGGGGGCTCCATCATCAGGGGCACCGGAAGAACTGAAAAGCGGCGGGGGCAGAATCTTAAAAAGGACACTTGATCGCCGAAGGCGCGAGACCTCGTAGGGTGTCCAGGTGCATCCTCCCCCGGGAAATTTTATATCTAGAGGCTCTGAAATGCCATTTCATGCGTTTTGGGCAGAGATTTGCCATAATTTTGAGAATTAAGAAACGTCACGTAACTAATACAAAAAACAGTGAAAGTTTTAAGTGTATGGGTGGAATATTTTCGTAGGTGATGAAGTCTCACAGTTTGCAGCCAAATATTTCTATACATTGTACACTAGATTAGATTTTTAATACATTTTTAATAGATTATGAATAAATTGAGTAGATTATAACATGTAGGTCACGAACCTTGTGCAAGGCAAAACAGAAAGAGCCCAAAATATTGTTACAATATTGTTACAATAGCAAACTAACGCAAATAGAGTTCATGCAAATAGACTCGCACAATAATGTAGAGTAAATTAAATTGATATATAATAAGATCAAGGAATAATAAATTGTAACACTGTACTATAAAGAAACCTATAACTCTAATATGTAATCCTTGCTTCTTTGGCACTTTGCTTGCGTATGCCGATGTATATCCCAACGAATAAAAACTGAGTCAACTAACTATCACGGTTCAGTGCTTCTAAATTATTTATAGTAGAGGCAAAGAAGTTAAAAAAAAGTAAAAACTGAACTTAATGAGGTTGCATATCTTGGATGGAAAATCACAAGAAGCTGGAAACATGGGCTTAGCTAGAGGCCCGTCCACCCGTCTTTTGGACGGGTACAGTACTTGTGACCCTGGCAGTTGATGTTAAAACTCTAGGGCAATTTCACGTTGTGGACATTACATTCACAGAAAAACAATAAATACAAAACATGCTCTGTTTCCTGTTTGCAACAGTTTCTGATCTGGGAACTTTGTCAAAGAAAACCTTAAGGGGACCTCTTAAGATTTCATAAAATAAAACAAAATTCCCTCGTAATCACTTCTTGTAATAAAAAGTCAAAGTACTGTTGCAGACATTACAGCAATATCAACCACACATTGAAGTGATGTTTTTAAAATGTAATTTCCTGTGAACTTTGAAAGGTATCAAAGGAACTAAAACACTGCCTGCTATCAGTGATAATTGGGGTTAAAAAATATGAAAACGAGATGTTCTACAATGCCCTTGCGCAGCTTCTATAGTGCAAAGTTTGTGTTGCGGACATTACACTGAAACTGTTGCGGACATTACATTTTTGGGATTGTATAGCAATCGGTATTAAAAATAATAGGAAATCAAAACTGGGTGCCTGATTATGCACTTCAAAGTTTCTAGTCCACATAAAAAATCCATATTTGGTTAGCCATTGAGTTGATATGACAATTTCACAGTTGGCTGTTAGCCAATCAGAAACCAGAAATTTTTTAAATAAATAATAATACAGTATATAATCTTCTGTTGACAACAATATCTTTCAAAAGTGCAATATTTGTTGTGCATTGACTCATGCAGGCAATACTCAGGTTGTGCAGCAAAAAAGTGCCATGTTTGTAGACCATTCTATTTGCTTTTGAGTTTTGCATTTACTACATTTGGTGGGAATAATTACACCCCTGACTTTAGTGGAAGATGATCGAAACAAACATGAAAACATGATTTTGCACTTAACAACATATGCCTTACAAAACTGATGGTTATGGCAGTATAGGGTAGTGGCATTATATGTAACTTGGAAACTTTCCATGATGATTTGTGTATACAGCACAGAGTGATTATAGTTAAAAGTAGGGTTCCATAGTCCTTTTAATGTTCTATTTTTAAGTCATCAAGCTTAAAATAACTATAGAATTCAAGCAAGACAATTAAGGGCCGGACCATTAGATATTTGATGGGGGGGTTGTGTAAATCCCCAAAAAAATATCGAGCAAGCACTTATTGTTACGAAAAAATATCGAGCAGGACAAATGCGCACGAAAAAAATATCGAGCACACCATCCAAGTTTCCACCCTCGTGATTGTCAGAAGTCTCTCCTCCGCAGAGGCTTTTGAAGAAATTAACCTGAATCGATAATATATAACCTTTTAATTAAATATTATTTTTATAACAATTTGAAAGACTTTAATAAAATACTTTAAATAATAGAAGAGTCATATAAAAATATGTGAAATGCGCTAGACGTGGTTGCAAACCTGGCTTTGGAAAAGATTACCGCTGAAATCTAGAGTGCGGGCGTCAGAGAGAATGATGCTGGCTTTTTGGCTTTTAATATTTTTAAAATTTCCTCAAATCTCTAGTGGTATATTGTCACATGACACATGCACAATTTTCAGGAACTCATGCATGGATCCTCCATCATGTGCAAAGAAATAAAGCGTACAGTATGCGAGCAGAATGGGGTATAAAATTTTGAAAATTTTAAAATTTGGCTACTAGAATTAAAACGTTTTTGTGAGAATATCAGAACAGCTCGAATATAATATTTTTTATATTAAATATACTCTGTTATTATCAATAGACATAATTCTTCATTTTATATACCAACAACAACTTTAAAATAGCAACAACAATAGTAGATATTATCTAAATATATGTACATGTATTATAGTTGTTTATATATTAATATAGGAATCAAGAATGCAAACAAAACAATTAACAAATGTTTATATCAAACAGTTTTTCAATCTTGCTCCTCTGACATTGATTCTGAATCTGAATCACTGATTTCATTAATCAGTGTAGTTGTTTTATAATCACCTTCCTTGGCTTGACTTGCACGTGCGGACATACTTGATTTTCCACTTTTTCTTTTCCGCTTTGCACTTTTGTACGCAATTGAATACCCATGCTTCTCTCTGGCTGCATCCATGCACTCACGAGCCTGTTGTGCCTTTTCTTTGATGGGAGTGTCGATCTCAATAAGTCGAGGTCTTATATTCTTTGATAGGAAATCCAACCCATCCTTGTAACCTATATTAAAGTGCATATAAAGCAACTATTAAAGTTCGGAAGCCAATCCTAAATTTTTTCTCCCCACCCTAAGTCCTGATTCGAGATTAATGTATAAATGTATTAACCTATATGGCTAGCATTTCCAATTTGTGTGTTAATATAGGTCTATTTTCTACTATAAAAATACTATCATCTCTTCTGAAAAGTGGAAACTACTGTACCTTTTTTGGGTACTCCAGCAGGGATGCATTTAGCCATCTCAGTATCACACTTCTGTAGGGTATTGGTTGAAAAGGTGCTGACCTCTTCAAGTTTTGCAACATACTGGCAGATATTTTCATGGCACATTGGATGATTCCTCTCTGACTCTGTTTTCCAAAAATGATGCTACTGCAGGGTGTTGCCTTTCTAATATTTCACACTTTCCCATAATACTTTGCGACTTGTAGTATTGATTCCACATTGAAATCACAGGTGTTTTTGCCAATGCCAGCAAAAAAGAAATTCGTGTTGACCTTTGTTTTCTGCACCATAATTCACAGCTACGGAGGGTCTTCTCAAATTGCATCCGTTGTTCTGCCATTTGTAGAATAAATGAGTTGGAGAATATTTGAGTTGGATTGACAGAATTCTCATACCATAGAGCCTTGTACTTTCTCTTTAAGGATTCAATAGAGACGACTATGTTCCCTTGTCCATCTCGTGTCCCAAAGAAATTACTCAAAGAGTTGGGCAAGGATATGACTGCAGATGCCGAAGATGTTTTGAATGCAGCAACACTTGTTTTGGCATTACCAATTTTCGCACTTTCTTCACTTCTCCAAGTGGACCAAGTAGTGATCTCACGTTGAAGTCGTCTCCATTCAAATACTGTCAAACCTAACATGTCAATATCCTTTTCATGAATATCCTGTAGGTGTTCAATTTGACTCAAACCATTTGATTGGAAATTCTTAAACTTGTCTTCGAGTGATAATTTTTTAAGAAATGCTTTCAATTGATTCTCCTTGCCTTCTACTTCTAATTCAACAGGAATATCAACAACCCCAGACATCAAACATCAATTTTAATAACATATATTTGAAATTTGGCACTGGCCTTCAAAAAAGAGCACTATCAACCCCTGCTGGATATATCCCTTCTAGCTGCTTCTACGTCCATTCCAAATTCGTATAATCTGGTAAAATCCCAGTAGCCCAGCTTATGGCCTATTAAATGCGTTTTATATACGACGACGTTCATTATAGATCAAATTTATTATATAATATGTACACCATTTTTGCAATGCTTGGTAATTTGTGATTTATCGTGAATTTGCATAGCCTCTGTAGGCAAAGTCGTCAAAATTATATAAAACCCATTGAGGGTCATAAGTTGGGTCCTTTGTGGTAAAACATTTCATTGTATATAGCTATATTACCATGTTCAAACAGTGCCTTTCATGCGCTTTTAAAATATGAAGGTGCAAAATTGCCAAAACTTTAAATGCTAAATTGTAACTGGAAATGCTAAATTGGCATTTCCAGATTTTCGTTTTCTAATATTTTATAACAAAAATAAAAAGATTTGACAGATCCTGCTATGCTTTCATCTCAATTTGCTGAAAGTCTAAGAACTGACAAATATTACATTGGTCATTGTACAGTTTTGAAGTATGCATATTAAAATATGCATATTTGATACATATAATGATTATATTGATTTTGAAAGTTGAGAGAAAAAAAATATCGTGCAAGGACACAGAGGTAATAAAAAAATATCCTGCTTGTCTGAAGGACGAAAAAAAAATATCGAGCAGTGTGGAAAATGCACAACCCCCCCATCAAAAATCTAATGGTCCGGCCCTAATAATAAGCATCTAATTCTCCAAGTTCAAAAATGTAATGTCCGCAACGAAATATCCGCAACGCATTATTCAAGACATGTTGATACTTTTTATTGTCTTTTTTCAGTCTAAAATAACGTTAATACCATTTTAAAAAATAGGTACGCCAGGCGTACATGTATCTGCGCAAAGGAATTCCATGGTTACTATGAAAAAATTTAAATTTCGAAGTGACTATAGAGCCAGCTATTTAGTAAACTGCCGGCTATATAGTGACTAAGAAAAAAAAGATTAGTCAAAGAAAACACAACCCGACCCAGACTGCGTTTCACTTTTCGCACACAGTGCCTATACCATATACTATAACGGCAAGCTCGGTGACAAAAGTTTTTATATTTAACTATAGTCACTATATAGCCGGCAGTTTACTAAATACCCGGCTGCCAGCAGTATAGTCACTTTGTTTATATTTGATGATATGACAAACAATGTTCAGATTGCAGTCTCTTCTCAACTGGCAGAAAGCTAAAATTGATGTTTATCAGTAAAAACAGAATAAGAGTTATATATGAAATGGGTACAAAATTGCTGAGGTAAATACTGTACCATTGGCAGACACTAGGGGGAGTCTGAGCCCCCCCCCCCCACTATAATTTTGATGGACTGTAAAAATCTGCTACTAAATAAAACAAATCACACTCATATAATAATACCATTAATTAATACAATGTTTTTTTACAAAATGTGTTCTCAGAATGCTGCAAATGTCATATTCGGGTGTCCAAATGTTAAAAATTTTCCAGGGGCATGCCCACAAGCCCCCCCCCCCAATATTTCATAAAGTGTCCGCCACTGTACTGCACCCACATTTAATGTAAGCTAAATGAAAAAAATATATACAATCTGTAAAGAAATGTTATTAACTTTAACTCTGTCCTGTGAATATTAATGCACCATGTAACAAAATTCTAACGAAACATAATAATTCTGAATGCGGTGAATATATATAAAATGTACCGTATATAAACACAATTTTGACATCCCATACAGTATATATTAATTATGAATAGACAATCGATATTATTAAAAAAAGCATGCATGGTTACTCACGAAAAAGCTTTACGATGTTACTTCGGGCAATGATAAGCTTATTCATGTTCCGGTACCATCATTTACAAAACTTGCCACATTCATTTACGGATTTTTTAAAGCCGTTCACCAATAGTAAATACAGTACCCAAAACTCGTAAAAACTTCATATGCATTGCCATCGAACTAATTATACTAAGCAGTCACTCTCATTGAAAGGAGTGGATGTTCAGAATAATGTTGATGTTAGCTTGACAAAAATAACATCACTACCAATCTTTAAAATACACAAAATCGAAAATACACTTTATGAACAATAGGGCCAAAAAAAAAAATATGTGGGTTTCCGGTTTCCCGACCCTACCTAGCTTTTGGACGCCGAAATCCCGACCCTAAACTTTTTTATTGGATCATGCTTGTAAGTGTTTCCACTTAGAGGAAAAAGTTTGTGGAAAATTGAAATTTGAGGCAATATTAAGGAAATTTATCTTTGGATGTGGAAGCACTGACTAAACAAAATGGCGTCCGGTTGTTCGGAAAATTAAAAAAAAAGTTTAAAAAAAAAAGTTAAGACCGACCTACCCTACCTAAGTTTTTATAAGAAGAAACCGGAAACCCACATATTTTTTTTTTGGCCTAGACAATAGTCAATACAATCTAGTGAACTTTATTATATATATTTTTAAACAAAGAAGTCGAATTCATATTCATGTAATTAACAGATTATATATATGTCTTTATAGCTCTCCAACATTTCTACTTATGTATTTTATTCTTACTAGTGAAAGCAATATTAATGTATTAGCTTCATATTCTTGTAAATACTTCTAGCACTGTCACTGATTGACACAATATAAAACTTTGCACTGGACATTAAACTAGGGACTTACCTTAAATTAAAAGCCTATAAAGGTTTCTTTAGACTCCTAGCTCTATTTATAGTTGTAGCTTTAATACTTTTATGTAAATAACTACCATAATGATTGGGCGAAATAAATCTTCTAGGATAAAACAATCGTCACTCTGTAGAAAGCCGCCATCTTTGTTTTACGGCCTGTTCGCAGGCATACAGCCCTAATTAGTCGACCTGAGTGTTTAACGCACGCCACTGACGCACGCACCCACCACTGAGCTGTATAATAACTGGAGGACCTGCTCCTATACTTCGTTCAGTCAACGAAGTGTGGTGAAAGCTATTTCAGATACAATCTCGTTCCCCGAGCATGCCCGTTCGCAGGTTAAGGGTGGGCATAGCTCTGGAGAAATCGAATTGATTGAGGCCTGTGATTGGCTAACGGCAGATATAGTACGTTGGATTTCCAACGTGAGTTCTATATAATCAAAGTATTTGGAATTTCTCGTCGAAAATTTGATACTTTTTACACTGAAATCGATCGAAAACAACTAGAAATTCTGGAGGAAATATGTGCGAAAGCTGCGGATTGATAGGGATACAACTACCTGAAAAATACAAGGAGAACTTCGACGTTTCGAGCGAAGGCGCTTCGACTTGTGCTGTTAGTGTTTGTATACATCATAGTATGATCATACTTGACCTTTTATATACTGTCATACTCATACCTAACACTACGTATACCATAAATTCTGACAGAAGAGTTAAATGTAAATTTTAAAGCATAAAAATATATAATACTTATTATTGAGGAGATTATATTTATCAGCAAAGGTCAAGTACGATGTATACAAACACTAACAGTACAGATCGAAGCGCCTTCGCTCGAAACGTCGTATTTTTCAGGTAGCTATATCCCTATCCAACCGAAGCTTTCGTACATATTTCCCCCAGAATTTTTATATATTTCCCCCAGTTGTTTTCAATTGCCGAGCATGCGTAGAACTCACGTTGTAAATTCAACGTGAACAATTCGATTTCTCCAGAGCTATGCCCACCCTTAACCTGCGAACGGGCATGCTCGGGAACGAGATTGTTTCAGATACGGTGGAGCACCTAGTCCCCAGGCCTTTACCAGCGCGACCGCGAAATTCAATATGGCGCCAAGCTAAGGAGTGGAGTTTAAATGGAGTTTATATTCTATAATCTCTATTGTTGTTTTTTGATCTTTTTATTCTTTTTGGTTGGTAGAACTTATATTCTGAAATGCCAGGTATCTTACTCTTTATCTGATTAATCTGAAAAAAGATTTTATGACAGAATTTTTCTCAAACATTGTTAATTAAATATAAAAGACTAAAAGTTTATGATGTATATTAATATCTATATGTTTCAGTGAATTATGCTTTAAAAGTAAAAATAGATTGGCCAAGATAAGAAATTTTTGACACTGAACTTTTGTTAATTATAGTTTCAATTTCAATTTTGAAAATTGTAATAACAGCCTAGTTTATATTCCATAATCCACAGAGCTTGAACATCCATGCAGAATGTACAAATTATTGACTTTTCGAGTGAAATTCTGTTTGAATTTTTCAGGTACTAAGTTCTATCTCTTAAAATCTACAGTTATCTTGTTATCGTCTCCATCTAGCCTGGCACAGACTGTTCAAGATTGCACTGTTTAATTAGCACCAACACTAACAGCCATGGTGGCAGGGATGGATCCAGCATGATCTGGTAGGGGGGGGGGGGTTGATCTGCCAGCTCTAATGCCGAGTTATGTTTGTCATGCATGCCACCCGCCATCAACTTACAAGTCAAGTCTTGCTTGACTACTGCATTTGAATTATAATTGTTGTTCACAGTTCGCTTCTTATGTTATCGATATCACTCAAATCACTCAAATTAAAAATCAAAAGGGGGGCCTTATTGAATTAAAAAAAATCTGGGCAGGATGTTACAAGGCCATCGGAAGTAAATCAATATTGGGGGGACTCAAGAATATATCTGAATAAATTTTAATTGCTTTTGCACTTTTCTAGTTATTTTGTGTGTTTTGCTTATACAAATGGAAATTATAGGGGGGGGGGGGGCTCAAGCCCCCTGCTTCTGACGGCCTTGTGTGGCATGTGACATTGCCAGCTGCCATTAATAGTTTGCAGAATTGTGAAAAATAAATCAATGCTGTAGATTGCAAGTGGTAATGCACTTTCTCCATTGGCATTATAGACATAATACACATAAAATTCCACAAGACCAATTAACTTGGTAACCCTGAGTATTCCATACTCATTGGGAAATCAGTCAGATGCAATTGTACCCACCCTCTGGTCAAGGGAACCCTTGCCACTAGACGTTTCTGTACCTTTGCCCTGCATATCATGGTTTATGAACTCAACAATTTATGATTGAATTAGCTGTTCTACTATGATATTTTATGCTCAAGTAAATAGAAAGTAGTACAGCTAGCCGGCTGGAATAATGGTCAGATGTTCACTCCTCGGTGGCATAACTCCTAAGGGCTGTGCCCGGCAAGAGCCAGGGGCCCAGGGGGTGTGCCTTGTCAAGGAAGGTCCCTGGGCTAACCTTTATGCAGTGTTTGGAAATTTTAATTTAAATAATTAATTTAATTAATAAATTAAATTAATAATTAATTAATTAATTAAATTAATAATAATTATTATAAACAAATTAATAATAAATAATAATAATTATTAATTAATATTATTTAATTATTTAATTAATTAATATTTTTAAAAACTTTTTTTAGCTTAAAAGCTCTCCCTGTTAACACTCTGAACAGTAGGTCAAGGTAGGGCCGGAGATACGGCGGGGGGGGGGTGACACCACCAGAAAATTTCCTGCAAAGGGCTCTTTATTTGGGTTTTTGGGTAAATTTGCGAATTTTGGTATGAAAAATTGAGGTAAAGTCACTGGAAAGCATTTGCAACGTTCTCATCTGGAAAATTTTTTTCCCTAAAAAGTTGTCGACGG